TAATGGAAAATACGAAAGCCATTAGTCTACTCTATATTGTTCAGATCAGTTATCCCTCAATATTTTCTCAGTATTTGTGACAAGTGAACAATCCAGTCCTAAACCACTGACCCATGCGCTGCAGGGACAGTCTCTCTGACATCCTGTAGCTTATTCTGTCAGTAAATCTATGAACCTCGTCTGAATCGTAATCTTTATTCTGTTATGCAACACTTTCTGTCCTGGGAAGTCTTGTCCTTTTTCCACAAAAATGGCAGTGCCACTAAATGGAGTTATAAATATGAAATCTCCACTGGCATGAGTTTGAAATCAGCTTGTTAGAGAGAGTTCTCCAACACCTCATGGAGAACCAAATTAGGGAATATTTGAAGGAAGCAGAGAGCCAGACATTCGTAGAGCGAATGCCAAGACATTAGTCCATTCTGGCAACATGTGCTGTTTAGCATTAAAGCCACATGTCGGATTATAACCTACCTTTTCCTTCCTATTTGTGATTTTAAACTCTCAAGTAACACTAAACTGTGTTGTCTGTCATGCTCTAAAGTTAGATCTCTTCACAGAAACACACCGAAGACTTTTTAAACCACACCTTGTTGGTACTTTGTTAGACCACTTTTTCTGTAGAATTGCCTTAATCTATCGCTGGACACATTTAACAAGATGTCTGAAACATTCTCTGGAGATTATGGTTCATTTTTTACATGAATCCATCACCCGGTTGCAGTAGAAATGTTGGCTGCACATACTATACATGATGTAAATCTCCTGTTCCACCACACCCCAAAGGGTCTCTTTTGGGTTGAGATCAACGGCGTACAGAGAATTTATCGTCATGTTCAAGAAAACTCTCTGAGATGATTTGAACTTTGTGACCTGATGTATTATCCTGCTGGAAGTGGCCATTAAAGGTGGGTACATCGTGGTACAGTCCATGGACTGTTCTCACATTACAATGTACAGAGTCAGCATGAGATGAATCTAAGTTTTCACCAAGTTCTCACCCAATCATCTAAATCACTGGTGTCAAATTCATTTTCATTTTGGGCCATATTCATTTTGAGATCTGAAAGAGACGATTTTGCCGTAATGTATTGTCAGAAGCCGTTACCAATAAATAGCCATCTCTGCATTTAATAAGTACTTTTTAAAATGACATGAGGATAATTTGAATGTATACAAATAAAAACTGCTTTTATCTGAAAAAGAAAACAATGTTTAAGGAAACAACTGTTATCTTGAATCCTCTCCGATTGGCCAGATTTGGCCCTCAGGCCTCAAGTTTGACACTCGATCTAAATGACACGGCTGTAATCAAGACTCGTTGGACTGGACAGCTTTTGTTCCAATCGTCAAATTTAGTAAATTCTAGTATTGGTTTTATATGCTTGGCTGACAAGAGCAACACTTTTGTGAACTTCTGTAGTGGGTGGTATTCTATCCACGTACATCAGCTACTGTATGTTGGGGTTTTTCTTAGCTACTTTTGCCCCCCCGCCGCCCTTTTTTTTCTGCCACTTTCTGAAAATATGAGAGATATTGGTGTGCTAATCCCAGTAGATGAACAGTTTATCCGACTCGCTGAACAACACATAACTAATTTGGCTGTTTAGCTTCAGTCCCTGAGGGTTTGTAGCCCTGAATGCTGTAAAATACTTGGTTGATTTTAATGACCTGTAATTACAAGGCTCCTGTAGGACTTGGTTAACGGGTTGACAAGCTCATTCAAGCTTTTAAATCACCAGTAACACATCTAAAACTCATAAAACACTGATCTAATAGACGTAGAGCTGCCTGACCTTGGTTTCAGATGCCCCCTACTGGCTGACCACTAGAATAAGACGGCAAAGAACTTAAACATGCTTCAGATTCCTTCAAATGTCGAAATGTTTGGTCTCTCCTGACGGGAAATGAAAGGAATTCTCCAGATATCAAAAAACAACACACCCATTTATGAGACTGTTGCTCAATGAAACGACCCTGCAGTGAAGAGTGATGAAGAGTGAAAGTCCATCTGCTTTCGATAGAGATATTAGCACACCTCACATATGCAGCCACTTAGCATTCCTTATGTAAATGTAATGTAAATCACTGGAGTTTACCTTTTATGAGCTTCAATATGAAAATGCACATATGTCCCTAATTGGACCCATATTCATGAGAAAGCTGTATGGGAATTGGGGTTTGCCTGGTCCACAAAGGAAGGATAAAAATGGTAAAAAAAAAAAAAAAGAAAATTTAAAGAAAGCCTTAACACAAGCCAAGGTTTTCTTTTAATGTTCTTACACACGTAGATAAAAATACCGCTGTTTAAAAAGTGGGTTTCAACTCTGATCCCCTATGATATAGAAGAACTGGAATGTACTATAAGGCATGAATACTGTACCGCACAAACCCCCCATGCGCTCGCTGCACCTCTCTTCTTTACTCCAAATCTGTAACAGATTGGGTTTAGTCTGACTGGAGGTATGCAGCCACAACACCACATGTAGGGGTCTCCATAATCCCCTCTGCCGGGTATTAGAGCTCACAGCATGGGCATTCCTTTAAAGACCTTGCAGGAATTACCAACACGTAATCTCCACGATCATCATTTAGTTTATTTTTTATGGTTGTCTACTGCGGGGCGGAGGTGGGGGTTCATCTGTCGCTTGTAGGGAACTGTGTGGGACGATGTGCGGTGCCATCTGGTGAACACACAGGGCAAACCGATGGAGTCTTCTAACCCAAGTATCCTAAACAACATAAAGCTAAACCACATGTTTCAAAGACCTGATCTGGTTGCTGAGTGAAGTATGCGGTTCCTATAGCCCTGAGGTGGAATACATTGTTTATGGGGGGGTTGTGCTGAGTCAAAACCATCATCATGGATCTCTGTGATAAAAGGCCTGGAGTATAAACAGCCAGTGGAATAGAAAGAAATCGTTACTGCATGCTTGTGAGGGAAGCTTGATTTGACAAATGTTATCTAATTTTTTATTTTATTTTATTTTTTTGCAGAAGAAGTATGTTGAGAATAAATAACCCACTACTGCAGCTTTGCAGTGCTTTTGTGTTCCAGTCACACTTTAATGTTTCAGATCAACTCAATCACCACGTTTTAGAGCTCTACCAGGCTCAAGCTCTATTAAAGTTACAAGAAATGACTGAAATAGAACTTGTCTGACAACATGAAGTAGGCTAAGAAAGGGGTTCCCAAACTTTTCCATGCCATGGTCCCACTAGCTTCTGGTTAGGGAACAACTCAAACACTTACAAAAAACAAAACAAAAACAAAAACAAAACAACAACAACAACAACAACAACAAAAAAAACCCAGCCATTTGTTGGCAATAAATTCTATTTTTTGGTGTTTCAGAAACACCAAAATCAGAAAACTTCTAAATGTAACACCTAGCAACCCCAGCGCAGCTCCACACATCACCTAGCTACCCAAGCAGAGTTCCAGCACACTTTCTCAGCTGGTTTTACTGCTGTATGTGCTGTACAATGGCTGCTGGAAAAGGCAAGCATTTTGCTGTTGACTCATCATCCAGAAACCTTGCTGAATTGTTGTTGGTTGTGCAGGAGGTTCTACTTCTACTTTTCAAAGAATTTAGACTGCATAATTGCGCATCTTTTTGCAGTCGTTTATATGTCGCCAGTGTAAACGTTGGGGTCAGGGAGATGTGGCCAGCAACAGCTTATTTGGATTTAAAGTGACAGAGTTCCCAAAATAGCTCATTCTGAAAGGAGCTCAAAATAGGCAGAATTGACCCGAATAAAATGTCTTTATGCAAGAATGTTTTTGTGCATAAAATGTAATGAATAGACCTATCCTAACCTCTTAAAGGAAGCATAATAGGTCACCTTGAAGCACACTTGGGTCATGCAGAAGGACAATGATCCTAAGCGCATCAGCAAGTCCAAAGCTGTAAAAAAATTAAATGAATTAGAACAAAATAGAGAGCATTTTTTACACAGGGACATAAAAAAAAAAAAAAAAAAACTCTTTCCCATCGATCACAAACATTTGATGATAGCTTATGTTGCCAAAAGGGGCACAACCAGTTATTAAGCTTAGGGGGCAATTACGTTTTTAGAAGGAGCCAGTTTGGCTTGGACAGCCATAGACTTCCCCCATAATAAATGAAATAATGATTCCAAAACTGGCTGCATTTGTCTGATTTTAAAATGTGTTTGATGACCTGAAACATGAGAGTGTGACAAACACGGAATAAATCTGCGAAATGTCAGACACTTTCTCACAGCGCTGCAAATGAAATGTATATCCGTATGTGGAGATTAATTTCTTTCAGCGGGTTTGCTGATATTCTTCTTCCAGATGTGGTCGGAGCCAAAAGCATTCGCTTCACTTTCTTCAACATCGTTTCACCCTGGAGAGATCAATAATTTACAACCTAATGGTTTTATTCCATTGATAATCTGAATGGATGTAGAAAGGGAAAAATCAATCAGCTAAATGCTGGCTAAGAGGATTTGAGTGGCAGAGCGGGGGCCGTCTTCCCCCCACTGTAATAAATGAGGGGTGGCAGAGCCCATATGGACACACAGTCAACCATGAAGACTCAACCCTAATTCAGTCTAACATTTATAGAGACATGGCCTTGCCTGTGCTGTGTTTGATTTGTGTGTTTTCTTTCCTCCGTTTAATGACGCAACATATTATGCCATAAAATTGTGTAAGAACATTCGGTGAAAGATTTTTTGTCTAACATTTGGGAATAAACTGCAACAGATTTCAAATAAAGTGTTGCATAACAGATTTGTAGCACTGACACGTCTGTCTTTTTTAGAGTTACCGTCATCTGGAGAAAGCGCAAATATTTAAGCTTTGTTAGTACGATGACAGAAAAATAAAAATAATGAATGGTACAATTTAGATGTGGACATTAAAAAGCTCTGCACTGTTTTCCCAATTTATCAGACCTAAATTACCTGAGAAAACATAAAAAACAGTTTACAAATTACAACTTAATTAATTAAGAAATACTTACCTAACCTTGTGAAAAAGTAATTTCCCTCAAAACCTAGTCACTGGTTCTCCTGCCTTTGGCTCCAAAAACTCCCCTCCAGCGTCTGTGGTAGCTGGCAGTGAGTGTTTCCCATTACTGTGAAGGAATGAATATGTAAATATTGTTTTTTATTCAGCAACATTGCAAGGTTTTCAAGCATGAACAGTCTGATTTAAGTACAGACTTTGACTAGGTCACTTTAAAACAATTATTGTAACTTTTAAACCACTCAGAGGTGGATAAATCCTAGTGACATTTTGGTCTGCTTTGGTTTTTGCCTTAGACCTATCCCATGAATGCCATTTTATTCTTATTGTTAACTCTGACCCTACTTCATATTGTCAGACGGTTCTATTTAGGAAATATTTGAATTCTGCATCATTGCAGCTATTTGCTGTAGGACATTAGAAAAGCAGCAACTTAAACCTCATGGGAACCATTGATTTAAACACTGAATCGTGCTTGAGATACTTTTATTAATTTTTGCAGAGAAGCAACTGTTTATGAAAGACCTAACAACTACAGGGTGTGTGTTGAGTCATTTATTTCAGAGGGCATTGCTTAAATCCTGGCAGTTAAAAGATACCATAACAAAATTTAGAGACGTGAGTCATTAGCTGTCAGTGTCTGATGAGCCTGAGAAAAACTTCAGCTCTTGTGGCCTATAATTGACTTGTGAATAGGAAGAAGCAGCCATTCACAAGAAAACCCACATTCAAACGCAGTACTTCTGTATACGTGACTAACATCCAAACCAAAATAAAACATTTTCCTCTTTTTTTTTTCTTTTTTTTTTGAACCAGTGAGTGACCAGTACAGCCAGGCATATTTTAGAGCTCGTTTTCCATCCACTGAATCTGCCAGTTTTGTCATTTGCTAACAATTACCAGTTGCTAATTAGGCAGCTTTAGGTCTTGTAAATGCAGTTCAAATACAGATATCCTTTCTTTTCACACTTTAAATTTCTCATTTAACCACCAACCACCCAGTTTTAATAGGATTTAATCTAGGTCAGGTCATCGGGGTGATCACATTAGACGTCTGTGTAGCTACTCTAAGCAGTTAAGTACTTGGAAGCGTGCGATGGAGCATTGTGCTGCATAAATATAATATTACTGAATTATTTTTCACTGCACCACAGCTTAGAAAAGTATTAGCGAAAGAAAAACATCCAACCCTGACATCAGTGTTTATGCATTAAGCACCCGCCGCTTCTCCTTCTAAATATTTCCCAGTATATAGGAGATCGTACAGTTTCTACAAACGCTCCCTGCATTGGAAAAATATTCAACATGGCTCCTACAGACAGTTATTAAATGTAAAGAATCACAAACTAATTGCATGATTCAATAAATATTGCCGATCTCAAAAATACTTGCAATCTACTAAAAAATAAATGCCTGGACTATAAATTTTAGGATCTTAACAGAAATGATGTATCCTGAAAAACATTTACAAAACACCTCTAGAAATTTTAAAGCATGGACTGCTGATTGGTGGGAGGAGGATGAATCTGTAAATCTCTTACAACGCAAACTGGAGTCAACAGTCTGCTTGTAAATCAACAAGTTTGTACAAATAGTGATGGCTTGTACAAGGATTAAATTTTCAATTGCACCATTACAGGCTAATTTATTAGGTACAAACAGTGAATCAATCAATTATATGACAGCAATTCAATCCACTTAGACTTCAGCAAGACTCTTCTTGCTTAAGTTGCGAGTCCTTGCATATATCAGTGGTTTAGGCTTGTGTTATGTTTGGAGAGACATATTTTTAGCACACTTTGGAAATATAAAGTATGAATTAGGTATTATTTGCTGCTGTACATCTCCGTCTCTTTGCGGTCACATTGTAGCAATCTATGTTTCTTGTCACCAAGTGAAAACATCTCAAACTGGTTTTTTGAATGCGTCAGTGAGTTCATTGTTCCCCAACAGCCTCCTCAGTCACCAGATCTCAGTCCAACGGAGATTCTTTGGGATCTGGACAAACAGGAGATTTAAACTGTGACTGTGCACCTGACAAATCTGCAGCAATGGCATGACGCTACGTCAATGTGGACCCAAATCTCTGGGGAATAATTCTCACACTTTGCTAAATCTGCGTCGTAAAATGTAAGGCTGTTATGAAGGCAAAAAGGGAATTCAGTCTGGTAGAAGAAAGGTGTACCTAATGAAGTGGCCTTGCATTTCTGCATTAAGGTAGAATATTTGAGAGTAATATAATATAACATATAATCATTTACATTTCCTTCAAAACACTTGACTGTCATATTTGTCTTATGAAAATGTTGCCTATTTAGTTTACTGTTGAACAGGTAAAAAATTAATTTTTGACCCATAAGTGTTTTTGACTTGAGATATTTGGCCAGTGTGAAAAAAAGTTGGGAAATCTTCTCCTGTTTTAGGTAAAGACACAGAATTAAAAGGTTATAAGGGAAGTAAAATACGTAAAAGCAAGCATTTCAAGATTTTTTAAGTGTTGGGTTTCACTGTGTCAGAAATTAATGCACTGGATCAATCAACTCTATGAAGCGGCATAATGTCGTTTTCCCTAAAACTAACAAAGTAATATTAGTTCTAATTGATAAATTATGTTACCTTGCTCCAACTAAGTATGGTGGTGAAACCAGAGCAAACACAAAGTGAAACAATAAACAGAATGTAAAAGTGCAGCAAAAGGAAATGAGGAATCAAAAATAACGTTCCGGTGTGATCTCACTTGGTTTGTGTCAGTTTTGCAACTTTTCTCTACCTTGTTGTTTGGTTATTTGCAGATTCTGGTCTGAAGTTTCACATTGCTCTTTAAAATCACAACATTAGCTCAGGAGAACAGAGGTTTTTTTTTCTGTGCCTAAATGCCTCCCTCACCCCCAATAAACTGTAACCAGCATCTAAAACTGGCATTTTGTATTTTCTTATTGATGATCTGAAACATTCAAGTTTGACAACAAAGCAAAAACAACAAAAAAAGATCTATTGGGTGGGCAAACACTTTCTCATGACAGATGACTCGCCCTCCGCAGTTCTGTTTAAGTTGGAGGAGGTCAGTTTCTCTTTTCCAGGCATTCATTTTTTTTTTTTTTTGTCTCACAGGTGCATTCATTATTGACTTATAGGAGTGCAGGTTGCACCTGTTTGCAGTAAAGCCCACCATTTAAACTGCTCAAAGTCTGAGATGTGGGGTGACAACGTTCAGCTGGTGTTTGCAATCTGTCTGTTTGAGACTGACAGTTTACATTAAACTAATTATTATGATTATATGGCTTCCATATTAACGCAGGTTGTTCATCTCCTATGAATGACTCACAGCATGCAGCTGTAAAAATACTAAACGTAGCGCTGTTTTGGTGTATTTGGCTTAGTTGGAGAATGAACGCAGCTTTGCTCGATAACTCAAAATAGAGAGAAGACCTTCACAATAAATCGTCCACCTGTTTGCATTATTAATCGCGGTATTTTGTGTCAGCTGTGTGTGAGGTGGATCAAGCTGTAAAGCGTTTGGTCCTGCCGTTTTAGCACCACAGACATGCCTGCTCGGTAACTTAACGTTCAGTGTTATGACGCCCATAAAAACCGAGGTGTGGAAAAGCATTTTAGGAAGACTAACAACCTAAAATTCTTTGGGACAAATGGTGTGAGCAGGTGTGGGGGCCGCAGCCTGCATGATCAGAAACCATAACTCTGCATTGGGCTTCGTGTACTAAATGGCACATCCATTCAGTCTATCAGGATGCACCACATGTTGAGCGGTTTCCCACTGTGGTCAAACACTCCGAGCTGGACCTCAATATTCCCTTGCACAGTTAAAATCCTCTGTAAGTAAAAAGGAAAGTCAAATCTGAGCGTCATTAAGGGATCTGTAAACCACAGGTTTCCTGGACAGCTCTGTCAAGACCAGCTGTGCATACATCAGAAGCTGAATGATATGTGTACACTGGTGAAGACAGCGGAGAGAAGGAAGGATAAAGGAATAAAAGCAAACAGAAGGACACGGGCATGTGACAAAGAACATGTCCTTAAAAAGCATTAATACCACACGACCATTTTCATACATTGCTACATATACAAATCTAAGTGTATCCTATTTGGATTTTATCATAAGATATTGCATAACTATAAAGTGGAAGAAAGTTTTCACAATGCGCTATCCATGTGTGATTAGCCACCAGGTTCCTTCAGGACGTGTGTAATTTAGTATCAGTTTTAAAGCCAGTGGTTCTGTACAGGCCTCAAAGGTTTGTTAGAGAACACTGACGAGCAGACAGAATCAGAACGACCAAGGAACACTACAGACAAGTCAAGTTCACATTTTGTACTTCCATTTGAGTCTACACTCACCCAACCATTTTTGTTGCAACAAGTTAATGTTTTTTGGTGTCTGGAAAATTTGCCATTCAAAAACCTCCTAAAAGCCATCTAAACAAGCACTGCCCCTCACCTTCTAAGCCCAGTGAAGCCCAGACCTGTTACCTAGCAACCCCTGAGAAGTTCCGCTGATCACCTAGCAACCCCTGAGAAGTTCCGTTGATCACCTAGCAACCCCTGAGAAGTTCCGCCAATCACCTAGCAACCCAGCACATTTTCTCAGCTGGTTTTACTGTATGGCAGTATAAGGACTGCTGGAAAAGATAGGATTTTGTTTGTTTTGTTGTTGACTTACTATTCAGAAATCACTTCCTACATTCTTGTTGGTTGAGCAGGAGGCTTTACTTCCACTTTTCAAAGATGTACACTGGTGTAATTGTGCGAGCGAGCATAAATGTTGAGTTGGGGGGAGGAAAGAGTGTGCAGCTGCCTCCTTGCATTTAAAGTCAAAGAATCCCTAAATCAGCTCATTCTGAAAGGAGCTCAAAGTAGGCAGAACTGAACAGACTGAGAATGATTTTGTGGAAAAAAATGTAGGGAGCATGGTCTGTAAACCTATCTAAAGCATAATAGGTCACATTTAAACCTCAAGCCAATAGTAAATCTGGTAGGTGAACCTGTTGATAGAACTACTGTTAATAGTGGATTCCACCATCCTGCCTTTATAACTGAGCAGAAAGAACTGAACCATTGTTGAAACAAAGCCATAGAGTCCTGTTTGCAAAAAAAAAACACGTGGGGGACACATTGGTCAGATGCTATGAAATTTGAGACGCTGGTCAGAGTTGATGTGAAGATGAGCTCAGCTAAATATAGAGTGATCCAGAAGAAAACCTGTTTAAGGGTGAAAAAGAGTTGGAACTAGTCAGGGATTCACCTTCTTGGAGGGCCGTTACCCAGAACCTAAAGTCAGACCTACAATGGGATGTTTTCGATTGAAGCATATTCATCTCTGATCTCCGACCAGTCTGACTAAGGTTGAGCTGTTTTGCAAGGAAGAACTGGCAAAAACATCAGTTTCTACATGAGCAAAGCTAGAAAAGGGTTACCACAAAACACTTGCAGATGTAGTTGCAGCAAAAGACTAAGTATAGTAGACTAGTCAACACTTAGTCTACAGAGTATTGACTAAGAAGTGTCTCATGCAGAGTCATGTTTTTATATAAAAATACAATTCAAAACATGTTTTATAGAATTACACACTGGTATAACATGGTTTATCACATAAAATCGCAACAAACTGTCAAATTTGTGGTTATGATCCGACATCAAATCTCAAGTCTGGTGAACACTTTTCAAAGTCACAGAACATGAAGTGGGGGATGGGAGGTTGTAATCAATCTCTGAAAAGAAAGTTGGACAGTGTGTCTAAAGTATACTGGCTTAATAAGCAGATCTGTTACCATGTCAACAGCTCTCAGCAGCTCGGCATGGCTGCTTCATCTGTCCTTCCTCACCTTCCAGATGCTGCTTTCCCAGTAAAGAGGTGAAAGGTCGCCAGGTGCTTCAAAAAGCCATAGAGTCAAATTTCTAAGATGTGGAGCAGTTGTTGTGTTTGGGTGAAGCAAGCGTAATGTTGATGTGCTTAGAGCCCCACAGACAGAACATCATAAATCCATGCTGATCATCGCTATTAGCAATCAACGGCTATCTGGGTTAGCCAAAATCTGCTTTTATGGCATTAGACACTTGCCAACAAAAATCCATAATCCCAGAATCCTTTGCCTTTTACACATTAGCATCAATTCAGTAAATCAGTATTTAGTCTGCGCAGTAAATCCACAACAGACCGGTTTTTATTCATAGATGGTTTTTAGGGACTTTGTTACAATTATTCTGTCAAAACTAGCATTCAAGGCATTCAAGATACAACTAATGACTTTTGTTGGAGGTAGTAATGTTCCCCTTTATTATTACTGTGGCATAGATGATTTAACTACCAAATAAAACAGGTTGCCACTGATTTTCTGGACATGCTGAACAATTTCAATGACCATACGTGTGCTGAATGTGTGGCACTGCTATTGTATTTCTACTACTGATGCTCAAATGCAGCAGTTCTGACCTTATACGAACATTATTTTATCTCACGCAACATTATGGAAATGCTTTTAGCTGATGAGGACTCACTCACCTCAGCATCCAGGAATCTTAAAGAGTAGCTACTGGCATGATCTATTCTGAATAATTCAGCAAATATTCATCAAACCTCACCATAGTGGCAGCACTGTAGAAAACTGGGGAAAAGCACCTGCAATGATAAACAGAAATGAATGGATGGAAAATTTCAATAAGTTAGCATTCCTGATAAGCATTCCTGTGTCTGGTAGTAACGAAACGACCTATGAGAAAGCCTTATGTTAAACCTATACTGGTTGTCTAAAAAGACACTTTGACGCTATGCATACCAATAATCAATCAGTAATCATTACCAATAATAACTTGGTTAACTTTGTTGGAGTAGAATTGATCTGGAGAAAACATTGAAGAAAGATTTAGCGATAAAACACTGAATACAACATTTTGAACTTTGACTCTAGTTTTATACATTTGCCTGTCAAACACTCACATTTAGCAGTATTTCGTTTTTGAGCCCGATAGTTTCATTTTATAGCACAATAAAGTAACTATGTCACCTTCAGTTGTTATAAAAATGTTGTATATAACAAACATGACTTAAAAGAAACTTGACTTTGCAATTTAACACCTTGAAATTGGGCTACTGCCTCTTTAAGAAACTCCTATTCTTTCCAGATGTCATCATATCAACATTCCTCTATCAAGTGTTTCCAAATGTTTGTTGGAGCGTTCGATTGAGAAGCAATTAGCTCAGCAGATGCGCAGTTCCACGAGGTGTTTGCTAATTGCTGCTGCTAGTTTGAAGGAGCTGAGTGGGGGTGGGCTGCTCTGTAAGGTGGGGGCTCGCCTTCTACAAACCCAAATGGTTGCCTGAAGAGATTCAATAATTTCTCAAACATGCATGAAAGAATCACGGTAACACTCCAGGTATGTTTAAGATGAGGGAAAACATTATATCATTATGTAAAGCTCAAAAAAAGTTAATTTTACATAATGCTGCCCCTTTAATATTTTCAAAGTAGTGCGAGACTGAATCTTTTTACTTTTCTGCTCTGAAAAATAGCTGCCAATTTCTGTTATTTTCTGCCAGTAGAAATCACATTTAATTCACTGGCATCTCTCAGAATTGAGTGCATCTGTTCCATTATTGTGATGAGCATTTAGGACTGCGAAACAGATTTCCCTGCTTTGCCCCATCGCCATCAATTATGCAAACCGGCGATGAGGTCAGTTTATTAAGTCTAGACATGTAGCCCTCCATCATCCGCCCCTTGCTGTGCAAACTGCAGTGACCCATATTAATAGATTTGTAATCAATATTTCTTCTGGTCTAGAATGCAGATTTAGACGGTGAAGGAAATTGTGCCGTCCACTTTAAAATGTCCCAGGGGAACTTTCATGGCCATGCACCAATTAGTTTTACTGTCAATAACAGTAATGCTGCGGGACACTGTGTTTCTGGGTGAGAGGAGAGAACAGATAGAGGAAGGAGGGAGACATGGTGAAGTGCACGCCTCATTGTTAAGGACTTGTTACACTGACAAGAAGGATTTGATCAGACATAGATGTACACTTATTGTTGGCCGGGGTTGCCGTTGAAGGGCTTGTGTCATGGGGCAAAACTGCACAACCCTCGAAGATAATGAGTAACGACGTCTTATAAAAGGTCAACAAACAAAGCAGCAGCCGGGAAAACACAGGCCATGTGATGAGATTCATTAGGACGGCAGCAAGAGCCGGCTGGAAGAGGATGAGGGGCAAATTCCTCCGCTGCTTCCCCAATGAAACAGGTGTGTTTCTATAAGGAGGGCAATGTGGGGAACAAAAGTGCTGCTCTTATGTGATCCAGGCTGGTCACACGTGACTACATTCTGACCTTTGAGTAACCCTGGATTTCATTAAGTAGGTCCTAAGTAGCATACACGTCCCACAGCTATTATCGCAGCAATTTAATGTTGACTGTGGCTGTCACTAAATGATCCCGGGTTGAGGATGTTTATCAGCTGTGTGAGAAGTTTCAGAGGGTTTTCAATGCTGATTCAGCTGCGCAAACATGTTCTTGCTTCTGGAAGAGCATCTAATAAAATATTTCAATAAACAACACAAAGAGTGTCATTTTAAGATGGCATTTTTATTCCGAGCGTCACAAGTCCTTGTCTCTTTAAAAGAAGAATGAAAAGCACATTTGATCCCTTTAACTCAGATCTAATGACAACACACAGCTTTGGTTTCCAGTTCAGGAAACAGAGGGTTCCTGTTTTTCACTCCAAGCTCTATTGTTATCCTACACACAAGTTCTCGTTCTCTTTTTTTTCTCCATATATTTCACATGCTAAACAGCCATCACTTACCCACATCTTGGTCCCTACATAGATATTTAGAAGCACCACCTTCTTATCAGAACCTTTACTTTCCTAATACTGACAAATTTACAGAGATAAAGTCAACAGAAACCTCCATCAGTACTTTTCCTGTTTTATCTGCCCTTCTAATCCGTTTGTCTGCTTGAAATCAATATCTGCATTTTGATGAACCATAAAATTATGTAAATTGAAATTACAAAAATAAGTTCACTTAAAGGAAACATAAAAATAAAAAAATTAAAAGAAAAACACTTTCCAATGAAAAGGATAAGGTGGTTTTTCAGACATTGAAAGTCAGGTCACGTGATCAACAGCCGGATGTTACTACTGAGAAAAACACCAAAGAAAACAACAGGAAGTAGTAGGAGGATGACGTTTTTTTTTTTTTTTTTAACAAGGTGTACTTAGCTTCACTGGAGCTCTCACAACATCGAACAGTCATTTGAACATGTTGAATCAGACAATTTCCCCAAAAGGCCGCTTACGTAGCCTCTCTTAAGTGTAAGGGTCTTGTTATTATTGATATTAGCACAATGGAAAAAATTAAGAGGCCACTGAAAAATGATCAGTTTCTCTGATTTGACTCTTTATATTTATATGTTTGAGTAAAATGAACATTGCTCTTTTATTCTATGAACTACTGACATGTCTCCGAAATTCCAAGCAAAAATGTTGCATTTATTTGCAGAAAATGAGAAATGGTCAAAATAACGAAAAAAGATTCAGTGCTTCCAGACCTCATATACTGCAAAGAAAACAAGTCCATATTCAGTTGGAAACAATAATACAAATATTTTAACCTAGGAAGATTTCATAAATCTATATTTGGTGGAATAATCAGGAGGTTTTCACTGGGGTTCAGTGCAGTGGACTTTTAGTTGTTTCCAGAGCTGTATAAACAAAGATTTGTTCACATGCAACCTGAAAATGCAGCTAGTCTCTTTTCTGTTCCTGGTCTTGGGGTTCATGAGTCACCTAACTGCTTTGTTTTCTCGCTAGCTGTGTGTTTTCTTGTTTTCGTCAGATTTGAATGCATTTCTGTGGGAACCAAAGGTGGTGTGTCCATGTTGCTGTGGTGCTAAAGGTGTTTGATGGGATTGAAGTCTGGATAAGCAACAGCTGGATTTAATGCACCATTAAGGTCATCTGTTGTTCAGGCTGCACCTGCAAATCCCCTGATTTCACCCCCCATATCGAACCCCCTCCCCTGTCTGCTCCTCTCCCCTCTCCTCTTTCCTTCACACGCTCACTCACCCTTTCTTTTCATTGCTGTTCCTCTCAGCTTTCCTTCTCTTGTCCTGTCAGCCGTGAACCCCTCTCCCTCCCCTACTGTTTCTGCTTTCTGTCTTTTAATAATAATATTAAAAAAATATCAGCTGCCACTGCATCGGTCTCTTTATTCTACATCCCCTCCCCCTCCTTCCCTCCTGTTTTGTTTTACTCCTGTACGCCTCCCTCTCATTGTCTCTCTCTGTCTCATTTTCTCAGTTTCGGGCCCCTCCCGCTCGCAGGCTGTCGTGTTGTGTCTGCCAGGCCTTCTCGGCCGGAGCGCAGGTTTCCTGAGTACTGGAACGGAACAAGAGCTGGCAGGGAGACGCACTGAGAAAAGCCAACTCGGCCGTTCCCACTGAACGTCACACACGCTCGGCCTCCTGTTTGCCGGACCCAGCACACGCAGTGATGGATCCAATGATCCTGCGTGTCACGGGTGATCCCACCTGGATGCAATTTATCTTGTCAGGGCAGCAGAGGAGGCTGACCTTGACAGTGTGATATGTACCATATCCCATATAATGACATGGAGCAAGTATGTAACATGTTGAATGCATTAATTCTCCATTTTTCTCCCCCACAACTTCAGCTGAAAAATTGGGCATGGATGTTAATAATATAAATAATAAGAGCCATAACTAAACAAACACTTCCAATACCCAACTTTCTAAGTAGCTTTCCATTTTATTTAAGTGGAATAATTAGAGATCAATAACTTACAATGTGAGGCCATCATAAGGAAAATGTTCATCCAGGTAGTTCACTGCAGTCTAACAAGAACGGATTATATCTAGGGCTGTGGCTATTTAATAATTTTACAAGTGCATAATCTATTAAATATTTCCTTGATTATACAAGTTAGTGGACAGACCCACATTATGCAAGGAAGTCCTAAAGTTTTGTTAGTTGAACATCTTTTGTAAGAACTTTGGAAACTCACATGTACATCCCTACTCACAATTTACATTCAAATATGTACTTCATTCTTGGATGGAGTAACTTTATTGCTTATAAGAACTAATTGTTTGGTGCTTTGCCAAAGTACGAAAACCCCTTAAACATTTTTAAACTGAGTTTGTCCTGTCTAAGAGCATCGGTGTGATAATCCCAAACTTTTTATCTGTGCTCCCTTGCAAAGAGTAAAATCATTTGAGTTTCTGCTTTTTTATAGACAGGCTGAAACTTGTCAAGGTTGTTTAAACATTATCTGATTTTCTCTCTGAGGCTGTTGGATATCTCTGGGTCACCAATGCCAGACTGCACAAAGTTGTGAGGCACTTTTTAAAACCTGCTCATTTGAAGTTTCTATAATTCATCTCTTTGCTCCACAAGGTGCATCCCGACTCAGGTAGCTCAGACATAAACTAGATGTGTATTCAGGCATTTCAACTTTTCAAGAATTAGAAACGCTGCTACAAATAAAAACACTAAACAAGATCATCTCTTGCGTTATTGTAGTATAGTTCATGTCAGAAATGAATCATAACTTCTTAGTATTGCCAGATTTCGGCAGCACTACAAGCTGTTTTCCTGTCGTGCCCTTTAAAGTCCGAGTAAACAGAAGAAATAGACTCTACCCCTCTGGCAGACGCTCAGAATGTCCCTCACACTATTAACACTAATGCAGACAAACATAAACACCCCTGTCCTAAGAATAACTCCCCATTTTCTCTCCAAAGAATGATGTTTATTTCTCAGTGGCTGCTCAGCTTGCCGCTCTGCCCGGCTCACTGAATTATGTTTATATCTCCTCCAAGTCCTGATTCCACCCTGGAGAAATCTGTGCCCTTCTGCACCTGGGCAGTTTACCACCCTGAATGAACAGGCAGAGACTCAGATCAAAGAACAGAGCTTCCCGCAGACCCCTAATTATATTGTTGTTGGATTTCTTTCTGAGAGAAAAAAAAAAAGAAGGAAGGACATTAGCCTTCATGGATGGCTTTCACGATTTGCTAATGGTACCTAATTTTGAAAATGGCTTTTGTAAAGCAAGAGGGTCACGTAGAGAAAAATTAGAGGTCTTATGTAGGGTGCCTTGTTAAAGATGCAGTCGAAACAAGCTGTCTTCTTTCTCGCAGCTGACTGGGTGCGGCTGTTGATATTACATCAGTGGTAAAATTAGAACAGCAGAAATGTCTGTCTGACATCTGCTCTCAAAGGTCTCTCTGATGCTCATTAACATTACCAAAAAAAGGATATATAAAAAAAGTAAACACCTGTGATATATAAAGAAATAAATTCCTTTAATTTCTTTTAATAATATAAAAATCATCTCGGGAGTTTTTCAGGAGTCCATACAGACAACAGGCAACAAGTTTAAATCTGGTCTAGTTTGCATGAAGATATTATAATAAAACAAAAAGAGTGACATAAAAAGGATATGAATGGGTAAATATATAAAATTCATTATATTTTATATTAAATTATTTAAATTTATCATGCTATATTTGAAATTACAGTAATATTCATCTCTCTCTGATGAACACAATGCCCACCTATGGCCTACACAGTGTAAGCTATTTTGAAAAAAATAAAAATAAAAAATCGAAATTTATTTTAACTACAACCTTCTTGTGTTTTCTTTATTTTAAAAATTGTAACAATTACCATTTATCTTAAAATGGCTGTAGATACAAAAACATGTACGTAATGTTTCTTTTATCATTTCTTTATTTTATTTAAAGTTTATGTATTTGTATATTAATTTTTCTAAGCGATAATTTAGATTAAAATCTCATTACTTGTGGCCCGTTAAGAGCAACGTATTCGTCACTGCATTTCCCATAAGGCGTCGCGGAGTGCGACGTCATTATTCTGCGCAGAGCTGAGGTGGCGTTTGATAGAAGGTAATCACACTAGACTTTTCTTTAAAACGTTAATAACTTACAGTGATATTGAAGCTCTAACTTTATTTTCATTACATTCATTTTTTTAGTTTAGCCTGTTTCAACTGTTCGGCTTATTTGTTGTTGTCTTAAAAGCGTATTTTATCTCCATAAGTGGATGCGTTGCTACGTTACCGTGCTAACAGTTCGTCTCCCTGTCAGGCTCTTCGTTGCTGAAATATCCATCATGACTAAACTCCTGCAGTGGCTTTTCGGGGTCTCATTACTGGGCGCTGTGTGGGCTCTGGTCGCTTTCGACCTGCTGGAACTGAGCCTTCCCCGGACCTACAGGGAAGTGGCCTGGCCCATGCCGCTCTACCTGCTGGTTTCGTTCGGCTGCTACTCCCTGGCTACGGTGGGCTACCGGGTGGCCACCTTTAACGACTGCGACGAGGCGGCCAGGGAACTGCAGGAGCAGATCAAGGAAGCCAAAGAGGACCTGAGGAAAAAGGGGTTAAAGATGTAGGACGATTATAAGGAACTCTTTAGAGACTGAATGGAGAGACAACTTGCAAAGCGGGATGTTTATAAAAATCTGTTGCTTTTTGGATGATCATGGAGCTTCGTTGTAGTCAGCAGGTGCGACCAGAACATTAATTTGAATAAGATATCAAATATTTCTGGTCAATATCACGTTTTTCCCGCTTGACCATTAGATTGTGTTGACTGACTGAGACTTTTTGTGAGAGACACAGACCCATGAACTCAAGTTAAAGCTGCAGGCCAGACTTATTTTGTAAAATTAATTCACTTTCAGTATATTTCGTCACCTAAACAACAACTTGTCCTGGTCATTTTTTTTGTAGCTACTTTGTTTTAAATCTTTACATAATTAAGATAAAGTATATTCTCCTGAGACCCTGTCCACATTCTTCTGATGACATCACACAAGGCATAAAGAAACCATTCACGGTTCTTTTGAATATGCCTGTTTGCAATTTTTAAGAGTGGTATTGGCCAGGAAAAATTAGGGTTTTCCTGGCCAATACCAATTTCAGTGTTTTGTTTTCTCATTAAAATGTTCATTGGTTAGTTTATTTAAGAACTAATACATAAAAAAGAACACACTGGCCCAGTTTTAAAGGCAAACAAACCAGATGGTACCTCCAAGTTTTGTGTCGAAGCATGTCATTTTTTTTTTTAGAGTCAAAAAAACTGTTAAAGGACATGCTGCTGGATAGTTAGAAACTACTCAGCCAGTAGCATACTATTAGTTTTAATGAATAGGGACCAGTAATTCTGTGTTGTGAATACTATTGTAATTAGTGTTGATTTCCTCAATATTTCTGGTTGGATTGTGTCCCTCACATGCTAAATACATCATCGAACGTTTGCAGTATGTTATTAAAAACCTGATAAATGGAAACCAAAGGTTACAAGTAAACACTGGATCTTATAGGAATTTCCTGGATTCTTGTTTCTGTCAGCTCTGAAATCATCCATTTTAAATGTGGAACTTAGTTGTTGTTCTGTATTTGTCAAAAGCTGAATTCTTGTCAGAGCAGATGAACTAGGATTTTACCTGTAAAGAAGTGTACATTCCTCTGTGCAGTATCTGAAATGAGGCCCTGAGGCGTTGCTGTGGATTAATTAAACAGGAGTTTATTTTCTCAGTTGGTGTCCCTTTGTGGGTTTGCAAGATCTGATAATTTGGTGTTTTGCCCAAGTATGAGCCCCTCTTGAACTTTTCCTCTTTTTATGTTACAACCACAAACTTTAGTGAGTTTAATTAGGTTTTTTTTATGTTTAAGACCAAAACCAAGTGGCATGCAAGAAAGGGAAATTAATATATCAAACTATGAAAGGCGGAGGATGTGTTTGTATTCAGTTTTCCTGACTAAAGTATTTACAGAGGCCTGTCTTTTGTATCTTTATTGTAGCCCTGGCTGTATTTTGTTATTCAAGGATTACTCTGTATTTAGCTCCGTCCATCTTTCCATCAACTTAACCAGCTTTCCTGTTAAGTACCTAATTTTTAAATGGCTTTAGTAAAGCCATTTTCACAATTGGCTTTACCAAAGCCAATTTAGAGAAAGGAATCCCCTCAGCATGATGCTGCCACCTCCTTGTTCCATAGCTTAGGCTACAGTCTCAGTTTTGTGGAAGTATAAGGCGCTGCTTCTTGCTCCCTTTTGAACACTTTTTGTTTTACGGCCTTCCACTTTACGATTCTGTGCTGCTTCGTGTTGATTTATCACAAATTCCCATCAATGTACGTTGACGTTTCTGGTTCCAACGTGGCGAAACGTGGTGTAGTTCAACAGGCATCGGTCCTTCTGCGAGCCACTTTATGTTTGGGGAATGAGAATGAATCCAACTATGAAACTCGTGAAGTAATCGATGTTGGCAGTTTCATATCTTTGGTGTGAGCCCTAACAGGCTGCCTTTGCTCATTTTAACTGAGTCCCTGCTGCGTAAAAACAAAGCTTCGCCTGTCCCAAGGCATCATTACGCGGCTTCAAAAGATCCAATAACTTCTGAACAAATGCAGGAGAATTGGCAGGTCTGCCTGTTGTGCTGTTTGGCTGCAGCCCCATCAAGCCTCGTAACGTTCTCTCATCCCCCCTTGAATCTGTGCAAGCTGTTGCTTGAGCAGACTGGATGAAAGGCAACCAGTTACTTACTGGAAAATCTTCTAATCTGGCAAACACACTGAAGCCTTCTCTTGTTAGTCAGATATGTTCTCACTTGTAGTCACATATAAAGGCTTTTCTCCGTCCTCATTCTGCCCTTAAATACATTTTATTTCCACAAACGAAAGGATTTACGATCTTAGGCTAAACATTTTACAGAGCATGCAGCTTAAAACGGCATTTTGGTGTCTTTTCCTTTTGTTCCATTACTAGAACACACATAAATCAGATTGCATTTGCTTAATAGCAGGTCAGAGCGAATGCAGTCAGATACAAAGAGACATGACCTCAGATGTTGCAGCCTATTTCTGTAAAATTGAGTCTGTTTGATCTGTAGCCATAATGAAGTGAACTCCTTCATCCATAAGCCACAACATTTGAGAAAGAGGAAACACCCATTACCTGGAAGTAACTTTATTGAATGGAGAGCAAACTTGTTTAAACCAAAAATTCACTCACCTACTGTGTAGTTTATGTTAAAGTTTTGTAACTTTTATTTTGAAAGCATATATTTCTTTTACCTGATTTTGTTATTTTGTAATTATGTTATTTATATTAATTATTTTCCTTTCAGTCTCTAAAATACCAAAACTTCCACATAGCTTTATGTTTTGGATGTAATTTTTAAATTCATATTTTAATTACGCAGTATTTTTTATTATTTTTTTAACAAAATACTTTTTACTTTTACTTGAGTAAAATATTTTTGAGGTAGTGCTACTCTGACTTGAGTACAAATTTTGGAGAGAAGAAAAAGAAAGGGTTGTAGAGACGTACTCGCAGAGAATTCGTTCTTAATCGACACAGGTAAAATAAAGGTAAAATTACAAAGAAAAAATAAAATACATTTAGCTAACAAAGCTGCAAAAACATTTGAGATCTGTCAGATGTAATGTGCTTATGTGATAAAGCGAAACTCTTCCCGTTGATGTATTTATGCAGGTGATAAAATGGTCCATCGTTCTGCAGCTACATTCAGTTTGGAGGCCGTAAAAACCAGGAGAAAAAGACAATCGCAGACTGGTTGTTGCCCTCTGCTCCAGCCCAAAGGGGATTTTGACGGTGAGAGCAGCAGCGCTTCGGTTCATGCCCGCTGCTTGGCCCCTCTGAGACCTTAAAAAACATTCCTAGAGACACTCAGTGACAGCGCCGGGAGGAAATTCATCTCGACATGACTAAAAAATGATAGGTTATCGTTTTTGTCCGCTGAAAAGACGCCTTTTTCCCCACCCACACGTTTCACAGCAAAACCTCAAACCCATCTTGAGACGGACAGGATGGCAGAAAGCGTACGTAATCAGAGCCTTGAGCTGAAAGATTGAGATTTTGATTTATTTAATGTCGCCATGTCAAAGATATTTAGAGATGTTTCAGCGACTTAGACACAGACGAGGTGAAGGAAGTGCTCAGGGAAAAAGTATTTAGAAAAGCAGTGTAAGTGCCTAAGACGGGCAGGAAACCAAACCATGAGGCGAAGTGGCACAGACGACCTTCGCTGTGGGGACAATGTGTGTGACAGGACTTTTTCGGGAAGGGGAGACCACACCCCGACGGTGGCAGCGGGCCAAAGTTTGCCCTCACTAGCACAAAGGTTCCAGCTTATTCTGCAAAACCAGTACGCTCGGTTTCCCAGCAGCCTCGTCTGACCTTTCCGTCATCCGAAGCGTCAACACGCTCCGGCAAAAAGGGAAGAAAAGGCACTTTTAAGGTCTTTTATCCGAACCGGCAGAATATCACCAGCGCATGAAAACGACACAAACAGAGCTGGAAAAAAGTCACCTCTGGGTCAGGCTATTGTGGAGCAGCTGCTGTGATGCTTACAGGATGCTGGGTTTTCTTTTCAGTCCAGCATGGCTGCTTATAAATGCTCCAAAGAGCTACAAAGGCACCGGGTGAGCTGTCAGGGGTCCTCTGAGTCAGACCATCCTGGCTGTTGTGAGATCAACCATCCGCTGGCAGGCGGACAGGGACCGGTCATCATGCGTCCTGCTGATAGGAGATTTGACTGAGCGCAAAGAGGCAGTGATGGACCTGCTGCTTTTGGAAAACGTAACTTCCATGGCTGCCTCCCAGGTTTCGGTCTCACACACACCACTGGCTCACAGCTCTGGCTCCGTTACAACCTAAATGATACACAGAGACATGGGGTCAGGGTTTTCTCTCCCAGTTATTGCACTAAGGCTGTACGCTCAAGCTAAAACCTTTATCTGCTGCTATAGGGTGTTTGATTTCCTCTCAACCCTCACTGTTAACTGCAAAGTTGGCCTGTTGCAATAAGGAATAAATCGATTAATCGTGCGATAAATTAAAACAAGCCAATTTCCATTTGCATGATTTAGCATTTTTTCCTCTTTTCTCCCTTTTCTTTCCAACAAAAACTGGATGACAAAAGTCTTCAGTCTGCTTCTCTGGTATCAACTAACCCTTGGTTTTCTTTGCAGAGGCTTTGCAATTGATTTTATTTGTTGTTTCTGTTGTTTGTTCATTTTGGAAATGTAAAATGTTTTCCACTTTGTGTGTTAAATCTTCATCTTGATCTTTGAAAATGTGTTCTTGTATTATCATGTCA